ATGTGTTTGCTAATATATAAAATAAATTTGCATTTATGTATCCGGTTATTAAATTGATAAAGACAAAATAATATTTGGGGATTTAGACTCCATTAAAGATAATTAGTCTACCATAGTAGTTATTAAATATAAAGAACTTGAATGATAGGAAACATAGAAAAAAGAAGTGGATGGTCTTTAGTTTAGTAATCCTAAACAATTGAAGTCAGTACTATGAAATTATGTCAACAGGCATCATTCAGGATTGAAATTCAAACTGACAGCTACATTAATGCTAGGATACCAGGAGAAAAACATACTGAAGCTTGTTGAGAGATTTAACAGAACATAGGTCTGAGACAAAGTGAAAAAATGAAACTAACTCAGATTTTCATTGCATCACATAAACCTTTTGTTAATTATGAACATCAGTTGAGTGTGTAAATTTCTAACCATATAAATACGTCTTTGGGGGCGTATAGCATATTGAACCAGTTTTCACATAAAACACTAGGTGTTTTAATTATAATTCCATATTCTCAAAGCTTTTGACAGATAATAGATAAAAAATGAAAGTTAAAAAGTAACTTGCATATTTAAGAGTCTTGATTTTTTTAAAAGGTGTTTAACATCCATTGGGAGAAACTGAATTTCCAAAATACATTTTCAAATGTATTCGAATATTTTGAAGCAGTTATAACTAGCATTTTTAAGCAGCTTGCTTTTAATATACCACAAATTATACTTTATTTGTTCTTGACAACATTGTAGAAAACAAAGACTAGGTTTTTAAAACTGTCTAACCAATATGATGAATGTCAGTCACTTAAAAAAACCCACTGTAGCATAAACACATACTGTATACAGCTTTTATTCAGAATTAGAATAATTGAATCAATGACAGTGATTTGCCAGGATGTCAAATCTCTCCATCATATCCTGTCACTACCAGTTTATTTTTTGTGATCAAAATCAAAAAGACAACTATTTTGTCACCCGCTATTTCATTAGCACTAAAAATCAGGTTTCTTATTCTATTTTTTTAGAATGTCTGGTTTATTTTTTTCATTTCTTTTAATTCTAAAGACACAAATTCTTCCCCATTTTCTTTTCAAAATAAAGTTTCAGAATTGATCTGTCAGTTAAAATTAAAGGGCTTTTATATTAAGCAAAGGTGCTTTTAAATTTTAAAGCAACTTCAGAAAATTGATTTAGTCCATAGATAATAATGTTGTGCGGATACTCCACAAAAGCTCTGCTATGTCCTTTGAAAGCATTATGAACATTCTGAATAAATTCAAATGAGTATTTTAGTCAGGTTATTATTTTAATAACTCTAACCTTTTTCTTACCATGTTGATTCATTTTACACAAACACACAATGGAACAATTACATAGCATATGACTCTCTGAAAAAGAGATGTGAGGTCATCAGATATGCAAATTGCTTGTCAAAATACTTAATAGGTCATTGATTTACTTCCCTGGCTACCAGGTCTATAAAATTAACAGCCAATTACTAGTTAATATATGCTTTGCAAATAGATAAATACTATAAAAATTGAATATACATATTTGAACTCTTATTTTCAATATAAAAGAAACTTTTCAAACTCAGTAAAAGTGCATTTTGAATAATAAGAGTACCTGGGCTTCCAAAAATCATATCCGAGTGCTTTGTGTTTCTAATTCACTGGGCAGGCTTTGTAAAAATAAGCTACTGAAGAGGGGTATATATTTTTGTCTTCCTCTGATAAAAACCCACTCTGAAAATGTGTTTTCCTTTCTTCTGGAAACATTATTTGTTACTCATTATGTTTAATAACAATAGCATATTGTTACTCATTATGTTAATAACTTACTACATAAACATATCGCTCTTCAATAGTGCTACTGTAGGTATAGACACCATTTTGATACATTATGAAATATACACTCCATTAACAGGTTTTTTAAAATTATCAGCTTGACTCAAAGATATAAATACTTAAGAACAATGCCAAACATAGTATCTGAAATGATATCTTTTCAGTGTTTCTAGTGTATGAATTTCAAAACACTATATGGTATTCATTTCTTACACTAGATTTGCCTTTCCTTAACATGAGGTAAGTATTTTGACTACTGCAGTTTGCTCAGGCGCTAGGGTTCTAAGACTTTTTGAATTTCCTTCTAGTAGCCACCAGACAATATCTACTTTTCTCTTCCATTTATTCCTTATGTCCATCTCCAGGATCTTTAAATACTAACAGTAGACAAAATAAAACTACTTTAGAAGGAAGCGACATTCTGCAATCAATTCCCTGTCCATCTTTTAATTTTAACAAATCAGACACACATAGGCATACAAAAGGAGAGTGGGGGGACCCCCCTATTCATTTGTTTAAGCCCATTATTAATGTCATTTCTAAGACAGTGTGTTACTGCTTTCCAAAGATAGTCACCATCAACATTATTGAAATAAGCAGTACTAACCCTAAGTACTTACACTTTGAACTTTAAAACTGAGCAGTTGAGTCATTCAGTACCAAGCCAAAACACAGAAAAACAAAAAAGCAGATGAGGTTTATTCTTGAGAAATGAAAAAGAGAAGAACATATATTTGGCCTTGGTGAGCCAAACATACAGGGAAGAAAAGGCTTTTTTTAATCTTACTAATATGAGAGGCCTAGAGTAAAAAGAAATAAACAAAGGAATATAGACACAATCCCCTAAGATGACAAACATTCACAGAACAAAGCTGAATCTTAAAATAATACTGTGTAAGTGAATCTTAGGAAACCTAGTGACAATAGAAAGAAGGAAGAAATGTCAGTGAGCTGTATCAAGAAACCAGTTGTTTACCATTTAAGGGTTAGGAGGCATAGCTTTGGGGGGGAAATATTCTGGAAATTCATTGCAGTAAAATGCATTTTTTTACTTAGAGCAGTTTGAATGTTTATTACTTAAAACATTCAGCTCTTATTCTGTTCACTTGGTTTTCCCAAGTCCGTCAAGTTTGGAGAAAAATTTTAGGCTTTTAGTCCTGTGATTTTACTGAGATCTTCACAAATAATCTCCATCCTGGAAGATGGCATCAAAACATCCCTGCAGATACCCCATTGATAAATATATAAATATATGTATCATTAAATAAATAATAAAAATAAATTATTTCAACCATGAGTAAAAGTTGCCAACTCCCAGGCACTGCTACCACACAGTGCCTGGCATGCTGTCCCCGAGAGAGTGCCTGGAGCTCTGTTTGGAGGGACAATTCATGTCCCTAGGGTGTGGGCAGAAGGCAAGGCAGCCGTTCCCATCCTGCTGGATCAGAGGGCTTCTGCAGCTGAGCAGCCGCTTCTTCAGACTCATACCAGACTGTGCCACTTTGCCCTGGCAATCCTGACCCTCAGAACACACATATACGTGCCCAAGTGCATACATACCCTCCGCTCCCACATTACTCCTTTTCTCCCATTCCCACCTCTTGCACCTGGCGTGCCAAACCCAGGTCTCCAAAGTCTCTGCTCTCTACACAACAGAACCGTGGGCCAGAACTGGCTGCCTGACCCTGGTGGAAGTTACAGCCAGTGAGAAGGAAGAAGTAAGCCAGCCAGCAGCTGTGGCATGCACTCCCACATAGCCCTTCTCTGACAGTTCCCTCAGCACACGGCCCTCGGGGAATGTAGGCTGCAAAATGTCAGGAGGTAGAAATGTCTGCACTGGCAATTGTACCAACAGTGCATACGTGTGCGCACTCCCCTGCAGAAATGTGCCGCTGTGCAGTGCAGGCTGACACTGAACAAAACTACATGCACACATTCAAAAACTGCAGTCAACTTAGGAAGGTGTCTCCAAATGTGCAGCGACTCTGGTGGCATAAAATTAGTAGTATATTTCATGCCAGAGCGATAAATCTCAATTATCTGTTCACAAGTAATTCCTTAACTAAAAAACAGTAGATATTGAACTAGAAGGTCATGTTTAAATCCTTCCATTAATTTCTATATTTCTGATCATTTGCTTTTGGGGATTTTTTTAAAGCAGAGTAGAATTCAGTGGAAGTGTGTCTTTGTCCCCAGAGGTTTCCGCATGTGCAAGCATTTTAATCTAGACTGCCAGAACCCCCAGGCTTTTTACTGAAGTTTGCAGGGGAAGACTTATCTGTATTGACTTATATGTTGCACAGAACAAATAAAAGTCTCAGATAGGCCTTTTTTACCCAACAAAAGCTTATTTTTTTCCATCCTTTGCTTGGGCTCAAGCACTCCTGCCCTGCGTGCCTCCACTTTAAACATGATCAGATCTGTGCTTCATTGCAAATAACAACTGACCAACAATGGGCCCTGCTTCATAGATTTGGGAATGTTTGGCTTAAGCTGCCAATGACTGAAGGCCTTTAATTCCCACCGGCCAGTCACAGTCTGCTTTGTTGTTGTCTGTTGATGTGTCTGTGCTCATTATTCCTTGACATGCAACATCCCCCCTCCACCCTCCAACCATCCACAACCGCACAGAAAGCAAGATTCAAATGGGAACAGCTGTAGTGGTTCAATGGGAAATGATGCCTCTTGTGCAAAGGGGAGGGAGACAGAAAAGGGAGAGGGCCTATTTGAAAAAGGCAACAGCTTTCAGAAAATCTCCTTTAAGAAATCTACTTTTGAATATACTTCAGTGAAATCATTGTTGAAACAGGCTGACAATGGAAATCTGCCCAGATTGAAAATGCCAGTCCTAATTCAAAAAACAATTCCTAGCTAATAGCTTGTTGCATTTTTATATTATTTCTAGACTTTGAGCTTTTGAATTAAATGGCTAACTGGGAAATGTTACCATTTCGTATATATGTTGTGGGTATAAATGGGCACAGATCTACACCCAGCTATAAGTGGGATTTTTTCTAACACGTTTTTGATTTATGATATCTATAAGAATTATTTTTTAAAGATCATCAGGATGTAAAACAGAGTGTGTATGAAAGTAACCATTGGTTTAGAATGTTGATCTAACATGGAAATAAAATTTGTAACACCACACTATAAGGTTAAAAAGAAAATTGTATAATAAAGGAAATACAAAGGCTTTGGCATGGTTTTTTACAATCAACAATGGTTAATTTTGATATGTAGTTGTGAACAACTTCAAAACACTTAAGTTTAAAACTCTTGCAAGCACTTTTAATTGATTAGGAATGAATTCTAGATGCACAAAATGATTGGACCGTGAACAGTAATACAACTATATCTAAGAACAATTAACTTTTGCTGGCCAAAAAAGAAACGTATGATTGCATGAAAATGTGTATAAAACATCTATAGAGTATTCTTGTCAAATATAAATGAAATTAACTTTATTATAGAAATCATTCTGAGGATTTCTAGGGAAGACAAATACTTACATTTTGACATAAAACAAATTGGATTATATCGAAGACACACTCTACCTTTTAGCTATCAACTTTTTTTCTTCCTTGAATTTATATCTTACCCTTTTTTGCACATAAACTTCATCTGTTAACAACCTTTGGAAAACCAACAGATATTTCTGACATAAATCTAGTGCATGTTGTTCCAGGTTTAATTATATGCAAAGGAATGATACAAACTTGGAACATCAGTCCATAAACTATGAACAGATGGGTAGAAGTATTCGATATATCTTGATAAAACTCTTAAATTCATGGCAAAGCTTGTTGATCATGGTTTTCTTTTTTAAAAAAAAACAACTTCATGACCAACACAGATCAAACATCCATCCAGTCTACATTGTTCTTTTTTTTCATTATAACATACAAATGCCCATTTACAAATAATACACCAAAATGAATAAAAGTTTGGATACCAAAATGAAGATTTGTTCCAACTGATATCGTGCCTTCTGTATACAAAGGTCCTTGTTTCAAGTCCATTCCTTCCCCAATGGTACAATACAGGACACAGTTGTAGAACTGAAGCGCCTCTAACAGCCATTTTTCTTTCTTTTCTGAAAGCTCAATTGTTGTGTCCCCATAGTCACTGACTGAATTAACACAATATTTCCTTTCCTTTTTTTTTTTTTTTTTTTTTTTACTGTAATCTTGGCCAGTATTGAGACATATCAGGTTCACTTCCGGGAACTTGAACTGGAACTGACACACCAGGGGAAATGAGTCCTAGAAGTGGATGAAAGAAATAGCCATGTAGATATTCCCTTTGAGAAACAAACATGGAATACAAATTTATGGGTTTACAAAAAAACCTAATACTTTCTAACATTTTTTACTGTATTAAAAAATACTTCCATTGTTACAAATAAAAGTAGCACCTTCAGAAACTAGACAACATGTTTATATATACCTGTTGGATCCCAAGTACCTGCCCGCCAATCCAAAAGAAAAGAAGAAAATCCTCCGTTTGTTTGCATGGTTGGAACTTTTACAATAAAGCTATCTCTGGAAAACCAATGTGTCACTTTTTATTTGCAGCGAAAGGTCTAGGGGAGATACGAGGGCAAGAAGCATTTCAACAAGCACGCACCTACAGCTCAGTGGGCCCCCTACTGAGCATGGTCTAATAATCTGTCCTCAGAAAACTTGCAGTCTCAGGCCTTGTCTTCATACACAACTTTGGTGACCAAATTCAGGAAAAACAATTTCAGTTTTTGTATATGGTGTAAAGTTACTAATTAGCTTAACTGAATTTCCTTTTTCAATCCCCATCCCCCAGGGACAAGGACAGCAAAGAGTTAAACACAACCTCCCACAGGACCAGGAGATTCTGTTTGGGTAGACTTCTAGTGAAGAGAGATCACCTGGTAAAAGAAACTGTACAGGCCACCTCTGTACAGCCCGCAGAAAGCAGTGGCTCACCTGTTGAAGTGGTGCCCGAGGTGCCCATTGGCTGACTGTTCATGTGTGTCTGCATATGTGGGGGGGTGTAGGTATCATAACTCCGCCCATTCACCGAAGGGCTGGTGGGCAGCATGCAGGAGTATGAGGAGGTCTGGCTGGGGACTGGGGGCTGTGAGGAGAGAGGCAAACCTGTGGTTACTGAGGAACACATCACACAGCCACAGCCCCAGGCTCCCTCCTCCCAAGGAACTCTGGCAACAAGTCTGATCATTAAAGATGCCTTCACATGAAGTACTGGAATTCCATATGATAAATCTAAGATTGGGCCTCAAGCTAGTCCTTCCACTGGCCACAGCTAGAAGAAAGTTGCCTATGTATCAAGCTTCTAAAGCACAGTAGGTTCTGACAACTGTCCAGCTCCATGGTTGCCACTATCCATAAATTAATGGGATTTTTGTCTCTAACCTCTGCTGGCATCTTTGAAGAACCTATAGCATGAGGACCTTCATCAAAACACATCCCCCCTCTCCCTGTAAATCTGGATTTATTTGGGAACGCTGTGACCCCCAAAGCCCACATCTCAAGCTTTGGACAGAGAGCAGTGGGAGGAGCTCTCAGTAAAGTATGGTTCAGGGACCTTGGGAACCTTTCACAGCCAGACTCATGGGATTAAAGATTATTTGAAGAAGCAGATCTGTAATGACCCCAAGTTAAAGTGATCAGAAGTGTTAGAAAATATATCCCACCCCCATACTGAGAATTAACCACGATTTCCTAATAGACCCAAACCCCAGATCAAGTTAGTAAATGTAACCCACCTCCATCCTGAGAATTAACCACGATTTCCTAATAGACCCAAACCCCAGATCAAGTTAGTAAATGTAACCCACCTCCATCCTGAGAATTAACCATGACTTCCTAACAGACCCAAAAGCCCAGACTGACTTATAACCAGAAAACTGTTGCTGCCCTCGAACTGTTCAGAATGGCAGCATTGAGGAGGTGAACCTTTCTCCTAACAAAACGCCTCACGAGCTCTCATGGTACTACACCATGGCAGCAAACTTGGGATGAATTAAAAGAAGTGTGTCAGAAACAAGCAAGTCAGATGATAGTACAGCATACTATCATTTTTCTTCTCTGCAAACTGGAGAAATGTTTAATTTCCAAGATCCATATTCTCAGAGAGGGAAGCATATCAGAGAAGGTCCAGAGGAAGACATCCACCATTTGTAAAATGATGATTTTGGTCAAGAGAATGAATAAATGGCTAGACAAACCGGCTCACCCACTCCAAAATTCAAAGAGTAGTTTTCTCTGAAGAGTAAAGTTATTAATCATTTTGATTTTCTTTATGCTTAATGAATGCATGTACTTTTTGAATTATATAAATTATGTAATTTTAAAAAGTCAGTGTTTGAAATAGATTGATTCCCCACACCGGTCTGTATGTGGAAACAGCCCTAATATAATGGCAGCATCTACTTGTACATCTTATTATTTTCTCATACACATTTTGCTATCTTCACAGAAACCTGGATGTTGTTATAATATATGAAACTGAACAAGACACTCTGTGGCCTTATTAAAGTCAGATGATGACTACTAACATCAAGTTCAAAGAGGCAAACAGGCCTTGAGGGCCCTGCCAGAATTTCAGCTTGCATTTGTTTCTAATTCCTGCAATGACTTCCTCTAGGCAACCTGACTTCTGGAAAATTCCAATGCGGTTATAGCAACACCAACTAATGGGCTGTTAATCCCTTAATTTACATCAATTGCACTATGGCCAATAATATCCAGATGCAATAAAAATAAACATGTGAATAATTCTTCTGAAGTTGCTTATCTAGCTGCTCCTATATTAGTCTGAAGACTGTGAAACATTTATTTTGCTGTTATTTGGATCTGAAATCCAGCAAAAAATGTTCAGTGGAGAATAAACAACCAGTGTAGCCCCAGAACTGTTTCCAGCAGAGGCTCACGCTGGCCAGTATCATACCATGTAATATCTCTAGTTGTTGCACAAACGGGAATTCTAGGAAAACCACTGGGAAAGGCCTACCAGAAGACATTTTTCCTATCAAGAATCCATCCAGCAACAAAGGTTTAGTACAAACCATCTGCCTTATCCAACTTACATCATAAAGGGTGAACCTAGTGCAGGGCCTCTAAATCAGGGGCTAATAGATATTTGGGACAGAACTAAGAGGAGAGGCAGGCTGTCATACCAAGTGAATAGCATCAAGCTTCCCAGGCAGCTAGGAGGGCCACAAACTCATCACACCATTCACGGCAAAGACACACTACATTTCCAGCAAATACCTGCTATGCCTTTTCTTATTGTAGATATAGACAGAAAACTAGCATTCTCATTATGTTATGTATATCTCACCATGTAAATATGAATCCCATTTCCGAACCCTTTTTTTCTTTCTCACTGGTTTATCACATATACCCTAAGTAATGCCCCAAATGCATGCATAGATTATATATTTAGCATACAAACACAATAATATAAACCCAAATTTTAAATACTAATCTCCCGCTATCTGATAATGTGCCAGCATTATTTCCATTTTCTGGTACAAGGCTCCCTAGTACCCGAAATATGCCCCACCACCACCCAACATTATCAAGGTAACAGTATAAAAAAAGGCAGATCAACTTGACAAAACTGGACAGATTTTTATTACTAATTTTTTTAGGGCATGAATTAATGAGTCAAACACTTAAAAGAGATTGGACTGACTGTCTCACTGGTACCCAAAACATGCCCCACTACCACCCAATATTATCAAGCTAGACAATATGATAAGAGGCAGGTTAACCTGACAAAACTGGACAGATTTTTTTGTGGGGGGGGTGGGGCATGAATCAATGAGTCAATCACTTAAAAGAGATGGGATTGACTGTCTTCGACTTGACTGGTCAAACCAATCACTGTAGTGCGAAAAGCTCCCAGGGGTGCAGACACAGCCAACGAGGTCCGCAGGCCCTGAGTCACTCCTCACTTCTCTGGGGCCTGGATTATGCAGGCCACCACCAGCCGCACTTACTTGCATAGGCAGGTTATTTGCCATGGTGAAGCTGGGCATAGGCGGCAGAGCGCTGTAGGTGTTTGTGAGGGCTGTGTCTGTTCGGCCCAACATGGAGCCAGATGTGAAGGAGGAAACTGAGGGCAAGAGAAATGACAGTAGTCAGGGTGAGAGTCAGAGCCCCGAGCAAATAGGTTTAAAGACATCGATTCATAGTATTAGTATTTCAAATTACCAGGTGTGGTGGGTTGTGGAATTGGTTGGTAGACACTGGTGCTGAAACTACTGCTGATAGGAATATGACTAGGTGTGTTGCTGGCCTGTCTTCTCTGATTCCTCAGTTTTTCTTCTCTTCTCCATTTGGCCCTTCGATTAGAAAACCATACCTGGAAATCAGATGGGACAGGTTAGCACCGTGTCTACATGGAGCCCAGCCCCACCTCGGCACCTCCACTGCTGCCCTCCCCATGCCCATGGCAGCAGAGCATTTCACAGACTGAACCTGTTATTAGTCCTATAAATGATTAGTGCTCTGTACAAGCACCTCTGTCTCTAAGAAAAACAAATGGTATGAATTGCAAAGTGTGAAACTGCACAGTCCCTGGGTACCTGTATTCTTGCTTCAGGTAGATCTATTTTGGCTGCTAGTCTTTCTCGGGCAAACACATCTGGATAATGGGTTCTCTCAAACTCTGAAAGAGTAAGTTGATTTTCCATATTGTGCCAGAACTACACAAAATATGTTAACCAAACTGTGGATCAAGCTGATTCCCACCTCCCCGCTCCCATTACCTCCAACCAATTCCCTTTAAAATGCTTCTAGTGTTGACTGTACTTGGAAGAACTTTCCCACCAGAACTAAGTTAAATTTTCTTTGGAATGACATTCAATGACCTTTCTGTGGCCCGAAATAGCCAAATCATCGTTTTTCCTTGTAAGCCAGACATTTAGTATTTGAATTACTGGTAGATGAAAAGAAGAAACAGACACACACACACACACACACACACACACACACTGAAAAGATGCCCAGAGAAATAAAAAGAAAAAAGAAACCTTTTCAATCCTCTATGCAAAGGGCCCTGGCTAAATTTAGCTCTTTGTACTGAAGATGTGGCATTTACTTTGATTTACTGCTTCTCTACTTTGAAAAACTCTATCACCTTTCTCCAGGGCCTCAATTTGCTCTTGGGTAAAGGATGTTCTATTTCTTTGCAGCTTCCGCTTCAGCTGAAGTCGCATTTGAGCCTCATCTGAATCTTCTCCGTTGGAACTGATGGAGTTGGTATTCTCTCCCCCTCCTTCCTGTTGCTGGCAGCCATCTGGAACAAAAAGAATAGGACGGTAAGAGAAATTTGGAATAACGCGGAGCCTCCAAAAGGGGCTTGGTGCAGTCTTAAATTCCAAGAGCATCGTATCCTGACAGCCTCACCAAGACATTCCCAAGGTAACTGTCAGCCTTCTGTTAACAAAAGACATTTGTGATGTTAGTTACCTGACCGCCATTTTCTTTGTTTTTATCAAGACAAGACTTTATAATACACACACTAAGTGGCATTTCTTGAATGAAAAAATAAGCACTGAAGTTTCCAATTAAAATGATCTTTTATAAGTAACCCCAACTCCCCAAATGCCTCACTCCATTCCCTACAGAATCTCTTTACCTATGTCTGTGTTGGGAAAATAGAAGAGTGATGCTCAAGATTTCAGTTGATCTATAATCAGTAATTCCTATCTAATCAATTAGATGTTGATAGGTTTGTAGAAAATGCTATTAAGAAACCAAACCAAGCTTGTAATCTTTTTAAAAAAATATTTATCTAGTTTTTATTTGAATTCTGCACAGTCAATTTCATTTTAAAGGTTGTGAATTTAGAAGTGCTCGCATTGTTCTGCAGTTTTATTCAACTATTGTATGAGTGCGCTTCGCCTTGACACCTATTACGAGCACAGCTGTAATTATATCATCACCAAGAACAGGCTATAATTGCTGAAAATGGAATTTTATATTTAGATAAAAGGACTGTCCATTCTTTGTAATGTGTTGCACCAGAGAAAAGTAAGATTTCTTTTAAATTTTTAACGTGTAATTTTTAAAAAGAAATAGTAGAGTTCACTAACTAGCTAAATATTCTATGCTGCAGCTGAATCTTTGGCATATCATTTAAGTGGTACATTTTTAATTAGGGCATTTCCACCACTTTTAATGTAATTTCTATCTTTATACAGGGGGAAAGTTTTATTGTTTTCCCTTGCTGCCTGGAGGGCAAGATGTGTACTTGGGCTAGCTGGCTCTCCCGCCTTGCACCTTGCCTGTAAGCCACAGTCTGTGTGAAGGGAAGCAGGATTGCCTAAACCCTGACTGGGCCTCCAGGGCCACTACAGGCTGGGTCCCGGGTCTGGGGTCCTGAAATGACCCCCAAAGGATACCAACATGGGCTACCCACCTCCCTATCCTCAAAACTTGGCCAGAGGCCGGGTGGAGGAGCCCTTAGGAGCGCCTTGGTGGGAATCGACTTGGCCAGGAATATTATTTATAACCAGGAGACAATAGGCTGTGCCTTCAAAGAGTTCAGGGAATTGTGACAGGATCTAGTGGGATCTTTTCAGGAACTCTGAAATGTTTTAAAACCCCAACTTTCTCCCCCATTTAAACAGGCGGATTCATCGGCACTGGCCACCATATGGGCCCTTGGAGATCTATTGAGATGACCACCAACACTTGAATAGCGAGGGGCTGCTTTTCAGCGCTGCACAATGCCCCGCGAGTAAGGGAAACTATTAAACTCCTGGGGCAGGAGCGTTGGCAAACTTTCGTGGGCAGAATTTTGAGGCTACAATGAGCGCGGACAACAAAAGGATTCTCTTGAGGCGTGCAGCGGGCCACATTGTGTTACAAGAAGCCCAGTCAACAGACTTTTCAGTGAAGTGTGTTAACCCCTCTGCTCTGCTATCATTAATCACTGTCCGAAGAGCGGGCGCCTCCGTGCTATTTAGGGCGCTTGGCTGGGGGGATGGAGGGTGGATGGGGGGCCAAGGCCCAGCATGGGGGGAGGCAGGGAGAGTGGACGGGGACGACGGCCAGGTTCCTACGTAGGGGAGATGGAGGGGAGGAAGGATGGAAACCAGCGGTGGGGGTAGAAGCAAGGGGGAAGGATTGGGGGGCCTGGATTGGGGGAAGGGCGGAGGGCGATGGAGGGAAAAAGAGGGCTCAAAAAACACAGAGGCCATAAAGGTATAAGAAAAAAAGGACAGAAAAGAATGCTAAGAGGAAAAAGAGACAAGAGGGCCAAACAAGTGTGGGAGAGAGAGGAAAAGGAAGATGAGGGACAGAGAATATTAGTAACTGAGCCTCAGTTGGACTCTGGGTCTTTGCACTCCATCAGAAAGGTGGGGGTGGAGGAGGGCTACTTAGCTGAGGGAGAAGCGCTCCTCTCACGTGTGCGGGCACAAGCGTCTGTGCTAATTTACCGCCCCAAGTTTCCGGGACTTTTCAAAGCGTTTTTCAAGGGAAGAAATGAAGCGACCACCCCTACCTCTCGCTTTATTTTCGGGTTTGGTCAAGAAGACTGGAAATAGCTCCTTTTGGACAACTAGAAAGGCCAGAGGGTTATTGTTTTTGGAAACCAGACAAAAATCTGTGCACATCTGGTATGGGGTGGGGGGCACTGAGGAGAACACAATGCCCATCTCCCCATGGTCACTCATGCCCCTGCCTTCCTGGGGGCCCCATCTCAGTCCCTTTTCTGGCACATGCGATCTCGCCAATTAAACAAAGTTGCCCGAATCTGCCTCCAAAGACCCCCGCCGATAGCATGCTCTGCTCTCATTTGCCTCTTTGACATTTTCTAAATTTTAAAACATGGAGATTCACATTCTTATCCGTGTTTTGTCTCACGCAAACATACACACGGGTTACACAGGCACGCACGCGATAGCCGCCAGGCCCTGTGCTGCCTCCAGAACTGACACTTAAGGGAGAAAAGTCAGCAGGAACAGTAGAGTTCAATTTTAAATCTGGAAGAAAAAAAAAAAAAAAAGATGGGAAGTGGGGACTGGAATTACATGACAGCAAAAAGAAACCCGTCGCTGTAGGCTCCCTTCTCTACCCCACGGGGAGAGCGGCACGGGGACAGTTCTTTACTTTAGAAGTGGCAACTGTTTGCAGCCAAGCAGTGACCTAGCGGCTGCTCTTACTTAAAATGGGTGCCTTCCCCCTACTTTAGTGGATTTGCCTTCCACTCTTTCCACTCTTAAAGCTTTTAACAAAATAAAACTAGAAGTTGGATCTCGAATTCCCGCCCCCCCCCCCCCCCCCCCCCGCCCACGATAAACCTAAGTGGTGGACTTCTTTAAAAGGCGACCCCTCGGAGCCACGCTCAAAGCAGGGGCCTTCAATGGGTGCCGTTCACCTTCCAGCCTAATCCGTGAGAAGGCGAGTGAAAGCGCCTCCCATTATCCCAGCCCCAGGACCATCTGACGATGGGGATAGGATTTGTTTCCTGGAAGGAGCAGAGAGAGAAAGAGAGAAAGAGACAGAGAGACAGAGAGACAGAGAGAGAGAGAGACAGAGAGAGACAGAGAGAGACAGAGAGAGACAGAGAGAGAGAGAGAGAGAGAGAGAGAGAGCGCCACGCTGGGAAATAAAATCATTCCTTAGTTTCTTAGTGTCTTAATCAGTGAGGCGGAAAACAAGCAAGAAAAGATAGCAACCCGGTTGCGGCACCTTTTCAGCTCTGGAGCGCGGATCAAAACATTGTAGCATCTGTTGAAAGAGAGGCTGACTAAATCCTACAGAGGGCCTGGGTATTATGGGGGGTGGGGGTGGGGTGAGGGGAGGAGATAAGAAAAAGTGTCTCCGTGATCCCTAAAACCACCAAATCGCTGGAGAATTGGGGCTGGATAGAGTTGTCTCTTGTTGTTGTCAGGCTACGTCGTCGCGATTTTATTCACTGCCTCATGGCGTTGATCAGATGGAAACCATATTTGTCTCCCTCTGAGACCTAACCTCCGCCTTATGCTTTTGGAGTAATGGACTCTTTAAAACCCAAGAAAGGCTTCCTGGGCTGGGAAAGGGGGCTAGGGAGGGAGGACGATCCTCTTAGAGCCAAAAAGCCTGAAGATTCCCCGGGAACGTGAAGCGAAGCTCGCCACCAGTGCCCGCTACCCCCACACCGGCAACTCTGTGCTTCGTTTGGCCCACGTGTCCTCCCCACGCAAGTAGGGACGACGATCCTGTGCCTGAGGTGACAATCACCCCCCAAAAACCTCACTTGAGGGTGAGGGGTGGTGATTGTCAGTTGACCCAGAATTTTCTAGCAAATGAAAAGCCCCTGGACTAGCGCCACCTCCGACCCCAACCATCACCCGCGGACCCCAGCCGGTTAGACTCGCTTCCCGCCCTCAGGTTGCCGGGGACGAAAATCCGCCCGAATTGGGCGCCACCTCTGGTGGAAGCTGCTGTCCTCAGCTTCTGTCCCAACTCCAAGAAGCGGGAGGCGGGTGTCTCCGGCGCCCCAAGCTCGTGGGAGCCCACGCGCCGAGGAGAGCCGGGAGTGGAGGCTCTGGGCTCAGCCCTCCCAGGCCTAGGCCACCGTGCCCTGCGTCCCTCCCCAAGATTTCTGGGACTAAGTGGGCCAGACTCTTGGCAGGTGAGGGATCACCAGGATCTCAGATTGCTGGGGGCGGAGGGGTGGACGCTCGTGAGTGCGAAGTTCGGGTGTCACTTGGGTGTGTCCAGTGTCTACACGTGGGAATCCTACGGTTTCAAAGGTCAGGCAGGGGTGGGGTTGCCTACACTCGGTGGGGTCAATCGCTAGTCTCACCAGAGGCGGGAGCGGGCCTGGGGGCCCTCTGCGCTCGCGGAGGCGACAGGTTTGGGGCCCGCGCGGGCGGGGTCGCCCAGGGGAGCCCGGGCCCCGCGCGTCAGGAGGCCTCCGCCGGCCGAGCGGCCGCGCTGGGAAACAAGAAGCGAGCGCTTTGCTCCCTATCTTCCCAGTGTCCGTCCTATATTGTTTTCTGCTCTTAAAACTGACATGTCTAATTGGCAATTGGTGCCGAATCGTGTCCAGAGGTCTCTTGTGGAACATTTCTACAGCTGTCTCCTTCAACTAGACGCTTATTCATGTCGCCTTAATGAGAAACAAAACGTTCTCTAATGAGCAATTACAGAGCGACAGGATTGTTCCCATAACAAATTCTTGCGAGTGACAGAAGCATCCTTTGTACCAGATATTTCGCATACTGTTACCGATTTTCCCTTCCCTCGCCCGACTCCATGGAGGCGCCGGGCATCCGGAGCCGGTTCGAGAGCGCACGGACGCGCCGGCAGCCTCCTCGCAGTCCCGCGCGCCACCCCCGGCCCCGAGCCCCCAGGCTCCGTTGTGCTCCCGGGAGTGAGACGCCACGTCCCATTATCCCGCATATTATCTCCTTGTCACGAGGACAACAAATACCGATTAATCTTAGGAGTAAACTGTTTCCTATTCTTGACCAAACTACCTCGGGGTGTGGAGGGGGGCGGAGGGGAAGCCAACTGACCCTCCTCCCCCATCCGCTCCTCTTCCTCCATCCCTTCTCACAGAACCTAGGGTGTTCCAGGTCCCATCTCTCCTCCCAGACCGGAGCAGCTCCCGGCATCCCGCCGTCCTGTTCACAGTATCTTCACCTCACCACTTCCACATAGTCGCCACCCACAGAGAGTGAGAAAGTGGGGGCCAGAGGGGCAAGGATAGTGGGGTGGTTTTAGTTGGGAGACCACCACTTCTAACGCTCCTACCCCTATTCGGCCCTGCATCTCCTTGCTCACCCTTTCATGTGCACCCTACTCATAGTCACATAATTTGTCAATTACAGCAAAAAGCAACACGATACAATTATGTTTACCTCGCAGTCTGTCAGTGTGTTAACTTGTCACACTTCTACAAGGGGGCTCTCCCTGCATTCTAATGTCAGATTTGAATAGTGCACCACGCAGTTCGCTCTTATGCACACAGTGCTGCCGACAAACACACACAAACCCCAGCCACCTTCATACCACTCCTGACATACACAACCCTCACATTCCCAGGCCAACAAGATGGTTCAACAAACACCACCTACATACAATATGCTCGATGTGTCCCAGGCCTTCAAATGCAGTCTCACCCATGACATTCCCCAAGCATGGAAGCCCCGGGAGGAAAAGGTTGGGAGAGTAGGGGACAGGCAATGGGCTGCACATATGGAGAGTTGCGTGGATGGCTGCTGGAGTTTTACCTTGTGTAGGTTGCCCTGGCACCGAAGTCCCCGGATACCAACCAGGGCGGGTGCCCCAGCTTCCGGTCTGCCCGTTCAACATCCTTAGTTTATCATACATGCCGTCTGCGCCCATCTGTTGCTTTTCGCTAGCCAGGTTGCGAAGAACTCTGTTTATTGATGACACCTGCAAATCAAACCAAAATCAAACCAAATGGTAGTGTCTCCTGAAGACACAGTCACCCATCTCAGCTCACCCACCACTTTAAAAAGCAACTCTCAACCCATTAAAAAGCTCCCAGCCACCCCGGGACAGTGGATTTGCAGATACATCGTGGAAAAAATGATAGCTATCATTTTGGGCATGGAAATTGAGTTGAATAGAGAATTGAGGGGAGGAGGTCCTTCACCATTGGTTGGTGTCTCTGGTGACCTAACTCACACAGTCGCTTTGCTTTGTTAAAAGACTGCCCGAAAATAAAATATATTTAGACTTGGTGTAAAGCTTTCTTTCATTATATTGTTTAATATTAGGATGGAAATGGATGTGTGACACCTGAAGGAAAGTTCTGGCAGGTGGATTGGGACGAAGTTACAATCTGGTTCTCATTTTCCTTCTTGATTTAAGTGCCTTTCCCTGGTGCCTCCGCCCTCCGTTTTGCAGCATGCAAATGAAGTGAACGACTCCCCACACTTGACTCCCATTTTCCAGACAGTCAAAGAAAGGTCAGGGCATTCCTCTGTTTCCCCAGGTACAAAGGAGACAAATGTGGAGCAGGGAGAGGACACAGACTAAGAGACAGTGGAGAGAGACGGTGGGAGGAGGTAAAGAGGAGAGAGCTTTGGGCTTAGGGTAGGGAGGGCAGATGTTCTCAATGAACTTACACTTGGTATGTTATCGTTGGTACAGACCCCCTCGGACAGTAATCTGTCTCGGATTTCCCAAGCAAAGATGGACGGGCACTCCCGCTTATACTGGGCTATTTTGCTTACAACTTCTGGAGTCGCTACTCTCGGTTTACTACCACCGATTGCCCTGGGTCTGATGGAGCCAGTCTCGTAATACCTGCCCAGAATTTTACTCACACATCCGTTGGACACCTGCATAGGGGAAGTGGACAGAAAACCACATTATTAATAATTTCAAGACAAAAATAAAATTGTTTAAGTATGCATTAAACAATGACAAGCTTACGTTTTGATTGTCCAGCACTTGGACTTTTGCATCTGCATGGGTCTATAACACAAAAATATACCTTCAATGGTACGAGAACTTACTGTAGAGAGCTTTTTTCTTAAAATTACATTTGTAGCCCTAAAAACTACAAATATGATGATACTTTCAAACAGTTTGAACTAAAAAAAGAATTTAAAAGTTGTTTTTTTAAAAAACTGTTTTCTTAAACACTGCCTGAAGATGCATCAAAACGAAGTCAGATTAATTTATTTTTGTGCTGACCTTGCTTAAAGTGGTGTCAGGTTTTAAAGAGCAAAGGTAAAAAAAACCTGATTTTTTACTTCTTTTTCTTTAAAAAATGCCCAACTGAGTAAATATGAGTTAGGGAGGAGTAAATAGCACTTGCCTTTTAAAATCAATATGTATTCTTCATAAATATGAAGAATAAGCAAATACCTCAAAATCTGAGGTGAGCATGGGCTGGGGAGACCAGAATGAAATTATGCCGATTTATATAACTAAGTTTATCACAGTTCATAAACTGTTCCCACAATGAATGTCTTTACCAAATAAAAAGAGAAAGATTTTTTTAAAAAATCCACACACTGTATTTTTCTGAAGCAGATGAGTTATCTGTTTCAACCCAGGTTGAAAGAGATAGGGAAGGATGGTGGAAGGAGAGGGAAAAGTGGGAAGGCAGGGGAGTGGGTGGGGGACTGGGGACTGGGGTGGGTGAGGGTGGGGGGTCCATAATTAGCATCGTTTACAGTAAGAAATGAAGAGAGGGCGTTGAGAGTGGAGGGCCGCGGGGGCGGCGAGTGGGGCGGCGCCGGGAGGATCACCTGCAGAATTCGGGAAATGTCGCACGGCCGTGCCCCGCTGTGAGCTAGCTCTACAATCTTCTGCCGGGTGGAGTCCGGCAGTGGCCGCCCGTTGACAAAAACACCACCGAGCTGATTCACTCCGCTGTGACCTGAGGAAAGGGAGAGGAGAGCAAAGGGGAAAAGAAGAGAGGAGAGCAGAATGAAGAGGAAGAAGAGGGAGAGGAAGGAAGAGGAAGATGAGGGAGAACAAGAACAGGAAGAAGAGGAAAGAGAAAAAGAAGGGGAAGAGGAAGAAAGAGAGGAGGAGGAGGAGGAGACAACCACAATGCATCCTCATCCCCCTGCCAACCTGTGCCAACCTCAGCGATCAGGTTCCTGCTATCGATCAAAAAAAAGGACAACAGGACAACCAACCATGCCAGACATTGGGCAGCCCAGCCCCAAACAGCCGTGCCCTTGCCCACTGGACTGCAGCAGCAACAGAGTCAGACACATGCCAAGGAACAAGAACACATGGACCTCTCTACCGCCATAACCCCAGCAGTGTCCCCAGCCCACTGCCCCTCTTCATAAACACTGCAGCCAGCCTCTGAACCCACAAAGCGCTAAGAACCAGCTCTACAAATCTCCCAAAGATCCCCTCTGAGTGTCACCGCAAACCAGAGGTTCTACAGATCCCACACTTAACCTTCAAGGTCTCTGCAGTGTTGGAACAGTGATAGCAAACCTTACAGCCCTTGAGTGCTCCCTTGGAAGCTAAAATCCAGAAATGTTTGCATTGCAGTCCAAACTGGCCAAGGCCTGGCACAAGCACCGAGTTTGGTTTTGTTTGGTTAGAACAGAAGAAGGAAGAGGAGAGAAGAACCAGAGCAGCCAGTCTGTGGCTGGCGAATCCCAGTCCAGGTTTCCGCTCCTCCAGTGTAGACGTGAGAGTCAGAGCCCCGGCTCTGCTTCAGCCACAGACAAGTCCGGCCACCGCAAGTAAGGCTTAGAGCCGGGAGTCGTTTCGCACCGGCCACTGCTCGCTTTATTTCCGCCGCTGAACTCCGCCCTCCCCTCAGCCAAGGATAGATATTAGCAAAAATCAAAAACAGAAACGAAAAAGAAAAGACCACGTCATAGTGTTCCCCATCCCTCCTTTATCTTTGTATCTCACAACCTCATCCCTGTGGTCCAACCTTGGAGAACAGGGAGAGGGAGTTAGCCCCTTTGTAGCCCCCCTCCCCCAAAACCACAGACACACAAAATAAAGCCAATTGCCAATTTCCACTTCCTTAAAAATCTCCAACCTGCAGCCCCGACTCTAGAGAGCAGCCCTCCTAGGAAAAGACGTGGCTCCCTTTTCAGCCCTCCTCTCCTCTCCTCTCTTCTCCTTGGAGCCTACTGATAAATTGACTCCAGGAGCCTGAGCTTCTTAGCAATAAATAAGCTCCAAATATAGAAGAGGGGGGAAAATATGATGAGCCTCTCTGACATTTGTCTTTAAAATAAAACTAGCTGCACGTCAAGTTTGAGCTTAATTTCTGGAAATAGGCGGAAGTCGCTCCGGATCATGCATGGAAGGCTAATTGAAAAGATCAGTCGGGGCGCTTGTGGCAGCCTTGTCACTTTGTGACAGTGCTCCGCTCCAGGAAATTGCATCGTCACGACAAACGGGACCGTGATAAAACGACCCTTTCCGTCCCTATTTGTAGATCACTCAGACGAGATTGAACTGCACTCGTTTCCCCTTCGAGGGGAGCCGCGTTTTCAGGGTAGCCGAAGGCTTGGGGCTGAAGGGGGGGGCCTCACCGAGGCGGGGTGGGGGTGGGGGGCCGGAGCCTCAACTCGATGAGAAGTGACAGGCGTTTGGGGGATCTGGGCTCCGGCCGGGCCCAGCGCAAGCACGGACATTGCGGGGACACCGCTTCTCCAACAGAGCAAGGCCTGGCCCACGTTTCCGGTTTATCCTAACTTCCTTTTATTGCCTTCCTTTGCCTCGCAAGTTCCATTCACCGCTCCAGCTACGGAGCCCCACCTCTAGGCACAGGGAGCTTCCCGGAAAAAGAAAGGCTGTCCCAGAAAGAGACCGAGAAAGACTTTCCAAACTTCACGCATAGCCACGGCAATTCCCAGTCTGCGAATGCCAAGGCGGGCGCGTGAGGCAGCCTACATCCAGACCTTCCTCCTCACCCATTTCAAAAAATAACAACGTGCCCGCCACCTCCGCAGCTACCGCCGCTGGGTGCTCGCCCAGGAGACGCCAGGGCCAGAGCGCCACTCCCAGCATCGAAATGGCAGCGAGGAAGAGCAGCTCCAAATTCCCCTTCAGAGGTTAAGCCTCAATCATTGTGTCCCTTCCCTAGGGACGGCTGGCGCTCTCGCCCACTGGCGATGATTATGCGCCTAGAACTCGACCGCGAAGCAACTAATAGGAAAACATATGGTGTCAATTTGGACGCTCCGCGCCTCGCGCACACCCGGGAACGAGCGGCACAAGCCCTGCGGGCCGGCCCGCGACCCCGCGCCCCTCGGGGCCTGCCAGCCGGGCCGCAGCGGCAAACGCTCAGGGCTGCAAGCCCTGGCTGGGGCCCGCCCGAGAGAGAGCCTGCGGCTGGGGAGTCTGAGCTCCAAGGGGAGAGCCCAGCCGCCGAAAGGGAGCCTACCGGCCAAGCCCTGGGGTGCGGCAGGTTCTGCACAACTACCCCCGCAAAGCTCGCCACCTTTGTGCCCCTTCATCAGCTACGCGCTTACCAGCCCCGGAAGCACCAGGGGGCGACCGGCGTTTCCAGAACAGATGGATAAGGTGCTGGGGACCCTCTTAAGCCTTTGTGGTTCGGCCAGGGAAGGCTGCTAGAAGACTTGGGCCTTTCCACACTCCGAGTTCAGTTGAGCCCTGACGCCTCAACCGTAACTTCAAACCCGGCCTGGTTTCGCTGGGCCTCCAGGCTCCCAGGTCGGAGCTCTAGACTAGCCCTGCCACGTACCAGCACCCACCAACTAAACAGGAAGGTGGGTGGGGGCCCAGGGGGTCTGGGCAGAGGAAAGCAGGGAAGTAGAAGAGCCATAAGTATCAAAGGTGCTCTGGGCCTGGGACTATCAGGACCCAAGCAATTGCGGTTGCCAGGGCAGGGCTTTTCCAGTTCCTGGGCACCCCCTTCCCAGACCCAGTAAACCGCGCTCTCTTCCCGCGCCCTGTAACAGCGAGTTTACCACCCCTACCCTGCTGCAGGCCTGGGGGCTCCTCTTCCCAACCCTTCTAGGCCCATAGGTGGGGTAAGGAGGGGAGGAGCTGCCCTGAGAGTGACTTGGGGAGAGAAGCCCCCCACCCCGCCGAGTTGGTGGAGACTTTCAGTCTTGGCTAAGCCCAAAGGGGCCTCCTTCTCGCGCAACTAGAAGAAGCCTTCGCCCCGCCCTGCTCAGCCCAGCCCCTCTCTCCGGGGTCAGAGCCCGGGCAGGGGCGGGGAGGGGGTGTGAGTTACAGGATTTGGGGGGGATGGGGTTTCTCTACCGCAGCTTCGAAAACTCGGGCGGGCTGTTCTTAGGGGCCCAGCCCCTGCTTCTTCAGTATCGAGAAGAGCAAAGCAAACGCCCTCCCCTCCTGGGCTGCCGGGCGCGGAGGGGGGAGCAGCCGCCGCAGGCCCCGGGCCTCAGTCGGTCGGCGGCCGGGCCAGCGCGGGCGTCGCGAGCCTGTGTCCTCCCCTGACCCTCGGGTCCGCGCACCCCGAGCCCAAAGTCCCAGAAAGATCAGAGGCACTTACTGTTCTGCATGCTGGCTCTGGCTGGGGGCCGCGGGATTCCACGGGGCTCGAATACGGGGCTCTGTTAGAAAATAGGAGTTAATCCCTGGGCAGCTGCATCAGGTAGGCCTGAACTCCCAACCGAGGTGGACCTGGGGCTAGGACAGGAGAATCTCCGTTCCTTAGGAATTGATCTACTCAACCGCTTGGGGCAATCTGAGGGTCACCCAGCTCTGCCTTGCAGTGCATGCAAAAGCTACCCTTTGGGACTTGAAACAAAATACTCGAATATCCCCAATCTGTTTCCCCTACATTCTTTAGCAGTTAACCCTTTAATCAGTAGAACCGATGCCCCAATTTTGAATTTTTTCTTCTATCGGATCTATAGTGAAGAAGCATACTGAAATAGTTTGTTTTGACTGTTTGTGGGTTTTGAGCCCAAAGCAGCCACCACAGAACTTGCCTGAAATCTCGGATGTCTGTCCACTCTCACAATAAAAGGCCTCACACATCTGCGCTCCCCTAGTTAAAGTCTTCCCCCTAAGACAAAACAGAAGGAGAGAAAGGTATATCAAGCTGTGGTTCAACAGCATAGGTCCATGGGCTCTCTGAGTCCCACTCTCAGGAAAAACACATGCATCTAGGGCTCAGTCAAACTGCCGTCAAACTCTAAGTCCCAGCATTACACCCACATTCTCAGCGGCATCTCCCACAGAAGTCTCCATCCTTTAAAAGAGGCTGCTCTGGTCTGGCTTGGGAGAATTGGCAAATCTGACAAGTTGGGGTCCCACTTTGCAAAAATATTAAGAACCAGGAAAAGGGAGTAGAGGCCAAGAGTTGAGGTTGAGGGGGTGTGAGGGGAGAGGAATACCTGAAGTTTGGAAAGCAGGGGAAGGGAACCTTGGAACTTCCTGGTGCCAGAGAGTATAGGCTGAAGCAGTTTGGGAGAGCTGAAGGGCCATACTCCCTCCTTCCTTAAGGAATTTCACAAGACCCCCAGAACCCAACACTCTGCTTACCCCTTTATCTTCCACTCCTCTCCCTACACCAAAAAATCTTCCCAATGGCCCCCTCTCCATCTACCTCCCAGCTTTCTGGGACTTTGAAAGGGGCAAGCCTAACTTTTTATCCCAAACCTCACTCACTATGATTAACTTCTCTTTTGACGTTTAGATCTTCACCCCTTTTACTGTACTGTGACACACCCTGCCTACCTCGCCTCACTGCTTTAAAAAGTACGAACAGGAGGGAGTGAGCATGGTCGACAAAGCCTACAGACGGCAAACAATGGCTTCTATTCTCCAGCTTTCCTCGAACCCAAGGAGCAAAACCGAGTCTCCCTAACTAGCAACACAGCTTCCAACCAAACGTACCAACAACCCACCAACTTACAAAGGGAACTGAGGGACACACTCCTAGCTTCATAAACCCTGACCCAGTGCAGGGTTCCTGGAGGCTGGTCCTGTACGAACCCCTCCCTGCCTTTCCACCCCCGCCAAAAAAAAAAAAGGCTTTTGGGCGAGTGGAGAAAATAGAAAAGTAATTTCTTGTTATAAATATCTGGAGGTAATTGTGTTACTGGTGTGAGTTGTTAGGGGCTGTAAAAAGATACAACGGCACCGTGGGGAGCTCAATTGGGAAGAGAGAGTTACAATAAAGAGCCCATTCAAGAGGTCTGCCCCCCAAAAAGAGGTAAAATAACAAAATAGTCACAGCATCATTTCTCCGTTTTTTAAAAAATGCATTATTTTTTCTGTTTTACCTATGGTGATTATTGATGTGCCCGCCTGCAAGCAAAGAATTTCAAGAAGCACGTTTTACTCTACAAGGCCATTCCTGGTCTACTTTTTAACCACTTGGTAGATAGCTTAAATCCATAAAAATAAACCAAAAATGAGGACTTTTTCTCAGCATTGGGTAAATACTGGCCACAGCAGACGGCTACTAGTTACCCTTATCTGGGTTGGTTCCCCAATGCTTCCTTCCTGTCTCTCAGTCCCCGCACCCATAGCCATGCCCTGGACAGGCAAAATCTCCAACTCCAATGCAGAATACCCCACCCCACCCAATGCAGGACCCTGAAGCTGCAAAGGAGTAGCAGGTGGGGAGATGGGGAATGGAATTCCCCTAGGAGGGGTAAAACTTCCTGAACTCCACTTTGTAACCCATGCTGTACACAATCACAACAGGCTGGTAACTTCTTGATACCATTTTTTAAAATTCAGTAGCTGAGCCCAGACAGGCCTTGTTGATTAGTTTTCGAAGCAGCTGGGAAGGTGGTAGTATTTCAAATTCCAGTTCTGCTCCATTCCCCCTTCCCTCTCGCAAAGAAGCTATCTAATTACTTAAGTTAACGTGAACACTAAGTGCAGAGGCAACCCGGGAAGTGGGGCACATCGACACCCGGAAGCAGTCCTGTGCACCGGAGAGGGCAGACCCCCAACTGCAGCCTGAGCCCCCCAGCTCAGCCCGTGGCTCTGTACGGCCTCGCTGGGGCCATAGACCCACATCCTGAACGAAGGCGTCTCCAGACATTTTGGAGTCGTCCCGGCCTTGGACCACGAGACCGCTGGACCACTGCCCCCACCTCTCTGTCCCCAACACAAGCCTCAGTTTTCAAATGCTGTTGTTATTTTAATTACTTAATTCTCAAATTCCATCCCCAAACTCTTTAACTGGGGTAAAGGGGAGAGCTCACTCTTGGTCTTCCCGCCCCCAGCCAAAAGAGGAATTAGCAATTAAGATGACAAAGTTTTACTCTCTAGGGCCGAATAAGATAACAACTAATCAAACTGCCTTCAGACGTTTGCAAAGGTCACTGGCTATAAAAAATGTAATGTCAACGGCAACAACTATTATTTCTCTTCAGTAAACTCGTCAGGCTTTCAAGCTCTTTGCCTTTCATTTCATTTTCTGCTCCCAGCCCCTACCAAACCCTTCCCAAGTTCGAGTTAAACGTCCAAAATGCCTTAAGGAGCTTGGGAGAGTATAAGGAAAATAAAAAGGAAGGAAGAAAGAAACCACGTTCACTTTGTTTTTAAACTTTCTAGAAATCGCTCATGAATGAAGAGCCGGGTTTTAGCACTCGAAAAAGAAAGCATTTCCACTTGAAATTCAACTCCATTTCCCCCAATTACACTTGCTAAAATTCAGGGCTATTATGGCGCAGGGAGACTGAGAAAATCTGCACAAGGAAAGAGGCAACAACTTTATGAACTTTGAAAAGACACTTTTCCTCCTGGGATCTTAGAATCGAAAGCTCTCAAATTACTCCGACTAATTAGCTGGGAGAGGAAGTGATCAGACGAGGGGGAAAGCCAATGCTTCATGTAGATTTATTTTCAAGGCCTTACCTAGAAAAACATAAGAGGATTCGGAGTAAAACAAACAAAAGAGCAAACCACCTCTGCACCTCAAAACCTGCTGAAATCCCAACACCTGGTGCGACTGGAGCAGAGGAAAACAAGGAAAAATACCCACCAAGCGCAGGGGGCCGGAGGACAGGGAAGAGCCCCAGCCTCCGCAGGGCGAGGGAGATGAGAGTCTGGGGAAGCCTGGGGAGCAGAGAGTTTTCAAGTTCCGAGCTCCGCGCTCCAATGGAGTTGGGGGCAAGAGCCCGGGGGCTGGATGGAAGCTGACAAGTCCTCCCGCTCGGCTCTGAGCTCCCTCGGAGCGCGCGTCCCACCGCCTTGGCCTGGTGGCTTCCTTCCCGGCTCGCGCTAGCTCGCTCTTCCTTCTGCCTCCAGCGTGCGGCTGTCTTGCCGACTGACTCCGCTCCGGCTGGTGGCGGGCGCGGTGCCCCTCGGCGCTGGAGTGCAGGCTGACTCTTCTGCGCCGGAGCCCAGTGCGGCACAAAGCCCGAGGGTCGGCGGGAGGGCGGAGACGCGGCAAGCCGGTTCCCTCGGCGATTCCTCCGAGCGCCCGCTCTCTGCGCGCTCGCTGGGCCTCGGGCTGGACAAAGCAGCCGGTAGCGGTTGCTCTCTGCGGCCGTTCCAGGGCCTTGGACACCACAGAGCCTCTTCGTCTTTTCCCGCGGGTCGGGAGCATTGGGCGACGATGGGGCCGGGAGCCGCGGCTGCTGCCGCGCCTGGAGTCTCCCTTCTTCCCGCGAGCTCAGCCCGCGCTGGCGCTGGCGCTGGCGCTGGGGCAGAGCTGGCCGCCCGCCCCGAGCCCTGCGCTGCTCCCGCTCGCCGGCAGTCGCCCTCCGACGCGGGCTTTCGCTGGAAGTAGAAAGTTTGGGCTCCTGCGTGGAAACTTCTCCGGCCCAACTCTCCCGGCGTAGCAGTGGGGGAGGGGACTGGCGAGAGGGGAGGAAGGAAGGGGGGAGGAAGGGGGAGACCTGTCTGAATATTGCAATAAAAATAAAGCGAGAAGAAAGAAGCGGACTCACCTTTATGAGGCATCCTCTCTGGTTGTCACAGTTCCTGTCAAGAGTTCTGTTTGGTTGGGGTTTTTTGTGCTGCTGTTGTTGCTTAAAGACCACAATGGTTTGAAATGACGGTGTTTTAAAGGAGTTGCTGGTGAGAGTTTTCTCCACGGATGTTGCTGGGTTGGTGTATGAGAGCAATTCTCAGATTCCTGGGAAGGAGACAGAGATTGACAATAAAATGGGTTGTCAGCGGCTGGAGAGTGAGAGATAAAGAGTGTGGGTGAGGGAAGTGGCTGCAGCCAGCACACCTATGCTGATTGGTGATGGCTCAAGTGTGTTAATGTGTGTGTGCCGGCGCCCGGCCTCGCCTCCACCGCTCCTCACTGGCCCATTAGCGAAGCCTGACCTCTGTCATCATCCTCCAGCAAAACACTTCCTCCTGAGCCTGAACCAGAGCGGGAAATGAGGCCGAGCCACGGTTCGCTTTTCAAACCCACTAATCACTCCGCAACATGCAAATGCACCGCTCGCTCTCACACAAAATATTGCTTTATGCAAAGCAGCGCCGGGGCCTCGCGCCAGCCGATTGGATGTTCCCTCTCCCCGCCTGGTGCAATTGGTCCGTTTGTTTGAATATGAATACACTTGTTTTCGGCTCCGCCGGTGGGTCCCGACTCCTCTCCCCGGCGCAGGGCCCCCGAGCCCGGGCTCTGGCGCTCGCCCGCATCTCCCCGCTCAGCGCACGCCGAGAGTCGGCGCGGCCCGCCCTGCTGCCGCGAACTTGAGCGATGAAGTGAAGGCTTCTGGGTTGGGGGTCGCGCCCCGACTCCCCCTAAGCTGGGCGAGAGACTCCCAGCCCACGGAGGGCGCAAGTTTCTGCGCTGTCCTTTCTTGCCAACTCCAGGACAGAGTGGCCTGCCGCCCCGACCCCGCCCGCCCCCACCCCATCCCGGCCTGGGCCCCAAGACGCAGAGCACAGCGGCTGCCGCACCCCAGCCCACCTGGCCCCTTGGAAGAAGAAGAAAGAGGCGGGAGCGTCACTGGGTCCTGGCAGCTCCATTCCAGCTGCGGAGGCCGCGGTGAAGCCTAGGCCGAGAGGAGGTTGCCTGGCCGAGAACTAAACGAGGCCAGCGGCCTCCCCAGCCCAAGCCTCCAGGGCCTGTCCAATCCTCCACCCCGTTCCCCTGGCCCTTTCTTCTCTCTCCTTTCGGAAGCCGCGGTGCGCAGCGGAGCAGAGGGACAGCTCCGGCTGGAGAGGCCCAAGTAAACACGCCACTTACTTTGTGTACAGAGGGTTCTTGTGAAAAGCCCTGAAGAGTCCTCACCAAACACTCACCAACTTCTCCCACGTGCCATTTGTTGACTAAGTGCGGCTGCTTTTCGCGGCGCCCAAGAGGAGGGGAAGCCAGGGGAGATGAGAGGGGAGGGGGAGTGGAAGCCTGGGTGGGGGGGCGGATGACCAATGCTGGGAGAGATTCTCTCTCTCCCTCTCTCTTTCTCTGTGTGTGTGTGTGTGTGTGTGTGTGTCTGTGTTTGTGTGTTTGTGTGTGTGTGTGTGTCCCACCGGCGATGTCGGTATGTCAGCGTGTGTGCCACCGGTCATCTGTGTGTGGTGCGTGTGTCTCCGCACCACGACTCCCTCTCCTGGGTCTGCGCAGTCCACGGAGGCAGCTCCCCTTCAGCTGTTGCCAGAAAACCGGGGAGGAAAGTAAGTAAATGGCTTTTCTCTTCTGACCACACACCAGAAGTCCATTTGTTGAATGCCGCACGATTAGGACACACCTCAGTACACTCCAAAGGCGCCCCTCGGAGCCTGCAGTTAAGGTGACAGGAGAGCGAGCGAATGCCTGGTCCTGCACTGTCCGGAGCTCTCTCGGCAGCTTCGGGCCATGGAGCCGGCTGCAGGACACACTCCAGGACCGGGCAAGGGGGAATGGGGCTGGAGAGCTGAGGCAGGGAGGCTGAAATGAAGCCGCCGCAGGGTACGCTAGACTCTTCTTGACTTAGGGAAAGCGCTGAAAGTCAAAGCCCATCAATAAAATCTGCGCGTCCTGAACTCGCTGCTGACAGGCCGCGTCGCCGCAGCACCTGGGAGCCGGGACAGTAAGGACGCTGCAAGCCGCCCTGGGCCGCCGGGCCACGTGTGGGCCTCACCCTCTCGTTCCTGCCCTGGACCCAGCAGCGCCGCGACCAAGGAGCCCGGGTAGGGCGGGAAGCAGAGGCCTCCCAGGCCCTAGTCAGAGTTAGGGTCTCACAACCCTCTCCCCTCCCCAGGCCGGGGAGGGCTGCCGGCTCTAACCCTTCCCGCGGCCCAGAAGCTCGCAGCGCGGGGAGGAAACCCGGTTCAGAGGCGAAGGAGGTGGCGCCGGGTGTACAGGTCCTCGGCCTCCTATGCGAGGTTTCATTTCGCAGGAGCGCGACTTTCGGAGGATGCCGGGAAGTGGGGCCGCGGCCCTGAGTCCCAGACCAGCGAAAGTCGGTCTTCTCTTTCTCTCTCCTTTTACGTTTCAAGCGAGCATTAAAGAAGCTTGGACTCAAGACTCAAGTCCGCTGTGCAAGAGCGAGGGACTTGGGGGGAGGGGTGGGGGCAGTGATTCTGTCCGAACTGGAGGCGAGTATCATTTTTACAACCTCTCAATTAGCGGCCGAGTGGATTAGCACCTTCTTAAGCTTTGCCTCGGAAAGAAGCAGCCGTAATCTTGTTGCTATTTCCCCCCAGGGCACTGGCTCTTTGAATCAGCTCCTTCTCCCACCCCTCCAACCCCCATCTCTCTGCGGAGAAAAGTTTTAACAAAAAATCAGAAAAGGCAAGGCGCGAGGAGTGAATGCCACTGACGTCATTGGGTGGGGAAGGGGGCTCGGGGAAAGACTCCTGGAAACTCCTCCGCACAAACAAAAAACAAAAAGGACTTGGCCGCTTCCCATGTGTCAATATTTGGGGAGGGCAGCTCAACCCCAGAAAGAGGCCGAGTTTTCAAAGTTTAAGGAGAGAGGGTTGAGGGCGAGATTTCCTGGTTCTCTCTGGACTGGTCTCAAGGAGGGTGGGGGTGCTGTTCTGCCTCGTGGGTAGCCTCACTCCCTCTGCCAAGTACCCGCTCCGGGGGTGACGCGGCCTGGGGGTGTGGGGGTCGAGACTGAAGTGCGGACGCGGTCGCCAGAGGTGTGTACAAAACCGAGACAACTCGCAGGTCGCCATTTTAATTGCGGCTACCAACTCACCGGAGGCCCACTTGCTGTCCTCCAAGGCGCGGGGGGCGGAGGGGATTGCGCTTTAGGTACTGTCTCGCCTTTCCCCGCCTCTCCACATGCCCCTGTAACCCCCACCCCACCCTCCGCCCCCTGTGGCCAGAGGGAGGACCTCTCAGGCCGAAGGGTGCGTTCCTGCGGGGGCCGCCGGGGTCTTCCCACCCGGTAGAGGGGCTGTCTGCGTGGAGGGAGTCCCGCTGGGGTACTGTGGCTCGCCAGAGCCTGCCCAGAGCTTCTACCCAGTATTGATGCGTCAACATAAGGTCAGGCAAGCATCTCACCCGCACTGGTCTCTGGCATTCCCCTGTGCCCACCCCATCAGACCTTCGGGGAGGCAAAGAAGTGCCCACTTCTGGGGGGATGTGCCTCCAGCTCCCAGCTTCAGAACCAAGAGTCTCCCATCCGGAGTTCTGACACCTCCGAACTCTCTCTTTCCCCGGCCAAGCAGAGGCGCAGCGCCGGCGCGCTGGAAAGGGTGAAGACTGGCATTTCTTTGGAGGAGGAAAGTCTTGGCAGACACCTGCGTCACTTTGTAGTGCCCCAAACGTCTCTCTCTTTGCAGACCCTGGGAAGGTGGGATCCCTGGTCAGCGGAGCTGGCAAACGGGTCCAGTGAGCACTAAAAGCAAAGGCTCCCACCCTGGCCGCCAAGTCCCAGGTGCCTCCCCCTCTTCCAGGCCTTTGTCCCTCTCCTTTCTCCAGCAATCTGCCGGTTCCCGCTAACCCGGCAGCTTCCCTGATCCCAGAGCCTAGAAAATCCAAGAAGATCCCAGAGACGCCCCGTGGCGCCTCCAGGCTGTGGCCACTGCTCAGCTGCGGGGGAAGCCGCTGTGCCCTCGCCCTTCCTTGCCTCCTGCCAAATGGCCAGTGCTAGGGGCTCCCTGGGTTCCGTCCTCAGTCCTCTTCCATTCACTCTAGGATGCCAGTCTCTCTCTCTCTCTCTCTCTCTCTCTCTCTCTCTCTCACTGTCTCTTTCTCTCTCTCTCTCTCTCTCTCTGTCTTCTCCCTGCCCACCCCCGAAATACCTTTAAAATAACATTGTCCAGTGGAGTCTCCCACCAAAGGGATTCCTAGCAGTTCAGCGGGCCAGACTCCCAAGGCTTTGCTTCCTAGTCCCTCCATGCTGTTGTCCAGATAGGAGCTAGGTTTAAAACTCCTGACCTGTAGAACAACTGGAATCAGCGGCACTCTCCGATTTTTGCAAATAGGGTTCCTAGGAAAGTTTGCTTTCCATTTCATCACCCTGAGACGATCCCCCTCATCTCTCTTTTCCCTGTGACCTCTGCCCCCAAGAAGCAAGAGTTCAGCTTCAAAGGAAAAGCAAGCAAGCCAAGGCCACCTCAGTCCCTTCTCCTTGGATATCCCCTCTCTAAACCGCTGCCCGTTCTGAAGGCCAACGACCCGGTCCTGCGATTTGTCCCGTTGTGGACCTGGGAACAGGCAGGCGGGAACTGGGAGCTTTACTGGGGGATTTGAGGCTGGGGAGGAGGAGGGAGCAAATGTCATGGCTGGCTCGCTGGAGCAGCCAGGGAACCGGAGCTAAGCGCATCCTGACGGGCTTTTAAAATGACATTGATTAGGACAAGCTGTTCCCAACCCCAGTAAGAGTTAATCTGCCTGTTAATCAAGGCACTAAGGGGCTCAATGCGAGTTTTATTAGCGACAGGAGAACAGAGGCCGCAGCCAGGGATCAAAAGCCGGGATCCCATATATTTGTCAACGCTATCTCCAAAAAAAAAAAAAAAAAAAAAAGTATTTTCAATTAGAAAACAATTCGGCGCTTTTCATCACTTCCTAACCCTAGCCCAGTCTCACAAAGGGTGACTTCCAAACCTGGCTAGCGGGGGAAAACCGCTGCCGGGGGACAGAGGGGCGGACAGGAACTGCGGGTTGGCTCGGCCGAGTGCGGCAGGGGAGAATTTAAGAATCCTCAGCCCGCGGCCCGGATGCCTCTGATTCCTCACGAGAGGAAAGGGAATGAAAAATGAAGCAACAAATGACACCACCCAGGCTGGCAGCCCTCCTTCCCCGCCAGACCCCGCTCCTCAGGCCCGGCTCTGGCGCCGAGTGGTGTCCAGACCCTGCACGCGCGGCGCGACCCGCAGGAAAGTTTGTGCAGCGAGAGTGACTCTCCTTCCGCCTCGCGCGCGCTGCCCCCTTCTGCCCCGGAGGGGCGTTGGGTTGCCTTCGGTTTTCCTTTCCAGTTCTAAAATAAACTCCGGGCCCTGGGGAAATCTGAATAGTAATTCCAATCAACCAAATTCTGTGAGAGGGTCTGAGGAAAAAAAGACAAGCCTATCACGGGCGCCCTCCGATCACGAAGGGCACCGGCATGAGAAAGAGACAGAGGTCTTCGGCTCGCCCTGGGCGCGGGGCGAGGACTCTGGTCAGAGGTAATTATGTCACCGCGTTTTCTCGCCGTGACAGCCGAATAAACACAATCTCCAATAAACATCTCTAATGAGGGAGGAGGCCCGAGGATGGCTGGGTTTGATTTATGACTGGAGGAGAAGGTCCACTTCCCACTGCGAAGCGGGCAACCTGCTCGCCGCCCAGCTCCAGGAAGAGGAACCCGCGGAAGAGAGGATCCCGGCCAGGTAAGGCGCGCGGCCGGACGGCCACTGCGCTCGTCCCCCGTTTCCAGGTGAGGTGAGCAGGGGGCGGCCACCGCTCGGAGTCGGGCGGCGGTCCCAAACACCTGTCACAGGTGACTGAGCTCCGAAGGTGCTACCAGAAGACCTAGAAAGAGGGCGCAGGAGCGCGAGTGGGGGTGGGGGGTTGGGGGCTAGCCGGGGCCTGGCCCAGAGGCCGCCCCAAACTCCCGGGCGGGGTTCCCCGGTGCCCCGCCTAAGCCGGCCTGGGCGTCTCCAGCCGCTTTTAGGGCTGGGCTCTCAGGACTTTCGCCCGGCTGAACCACGAGTTAGTCTAAGTTTGTGTCTTCCCTTCCCTGACCTACTTCGGGGACACTTCCGGCCCCCGGCTCCGGCCCTCCAGGGGCCGCAGGGTGGTGGGCGCTGCTCTTTCATGGGTTTGGCGGCCCGGCTCCCATGGCGCCCGCGCGCTTCCCGCCTAGGCAGCCAGCGCAGCGCCCGCAGTAACCCGAGCCCGCGTTCTAGCTCAGTGAGAATCGCTAATTATTAGGTCTTCCGAAGTGAAGCTCAAATCACACGCTGGGGCTTTACGCGCTGCTCAGCTCTGTGGGCCGCATTCTTTCGTACTCCGCGTCTTTCTGAGAAACGAACCTCATCTCTAGACTTTGTTGCGGTCCAGCCATCTACACTTTGCAACCGCGGGAAACTTCTGCTGTACCTCGCCCGACCCGCGACGGAGTGTCTCTAAGCGCTCCAGGCGCGGGTACGGACTTTCCCAAGCGTGAATGTCGTGAACTGCGACGCAGAGGAGGTCTAGATGCAAAGTGCGTCCCCACCTCCTGCATTTTTCGCGGTCGCGAGTGGCTTTAGCAGACAGCAGCAGTAGACTCCCGCCCCCTACTCCCAGCTCAGGGCCGGACTGGAAGTCCACTCTTGGGAGTGGAACATTTTGCTACTTTTGCAGAAGAGCACACTCCGCAAAGACAAGTCCCTCCTCCACCCCCCTTCCTATCCCTCCCTCAGTAACTCCCTTCCATCTTTGTTTGCCTCCTTTTAAAAGCAAAAATCAAGCCCCGGGGCCACTTGGGGCGGGCTTTGATTTGGGGACACCAGTCGCGGGCAGCGGAGAGGCGCCGCGGGCCCCGAGCCCGGCCGGGGCCGGAGCCCGGGCGGTTACCTGGGAGCGGAGGGCTGGGAGGCAGGTGAGCCTGGCAGCGCCGGTTCCCACACTTCTCACCGCCGCTCGGCAGGGGAAGTGGCAGATCTGACAGCCGCGTTCTACGCGAGGACCTGCCCCAGAGTTTAAATGTCAATGATAAGAAAAGAGGGTGCTCAGGCAGGCGCTAACTTTCCTTAATATCCACGCCAGCGCCCTCCTCATTGGCTGCCGGGTCCGCGTGACGTCATGGCAGCTAGAGTTGGGCACAGCTCCGCGCAGACTGGCTTTCCTGCGGGGCGGGAGCCTACTCCTCCCCACCCAGGGTCCGGCCGGCTCCAACCCCTGCTCTGGCCTTCCTTGGCCCGGCCTGTGACTGCCCTAGCCCGGCCCGGCCCGGCCCGGCCTGGCCCGCCCTCCTGTAGGGCGCAGAGTTGATCCCCAGGAAACCAGTCTTGCCGAGTGCGCTCCTCCGCACCGTCGGGCACGAGGGCTCCAAGATCTGTGCCCCTAGGCTGGCCAGCTACTTCTCTGGGTAACCAACCTGTCCCCCCCTCCGATCCCAAGGGAATCACTTCATCGGAGAGACCTGAAGGCCGCGCCGGGATTGAGAGGCACTTTTGGCAGCAATCATTTTTAGAAGGAGTTCGAGGCTCGATGAGTACCCCCAACCTGGCCCTCGAGCCCGCAAGTCACTAGCTGGGCACAGACGGGGGCTCCGGGAAGAGGACCAGCGACCCCTTTTTCAGGGCTAGGCCAAAGGTCTCTTCAGGCCTGCTGGGTTCTCAAGAGAGGGAAGCCCTAAAGGGGGCCTGCCCGGGCTTCCCTCGCCTCCTGGCTGAAAGGCTCCAAACACATAGAAAATGTAGGAGATTGTATTTATCTTTGACTTTGAATTAACTGTTGACTTTGTGACTTAGAGGAGGAAAATAGGAAAATCCCAGATTCTGAAGATAAGACTCACAGAAATTGGGGCGGGGTCTGCAGGACACTAACTTGTTGGTCTGTGCCTGTTTTTCCCTCACACCTTCTGTGGACTGCGAGATGGCTTAGCGGAGCTAGGCCTGGTTATCTTGGAATGGAGATTTAGACCCACGTTGTCATTCCCGTCCCCCATCCCTCAAAGCAGGAGGCTTCTCAACTCCTTCCACTGTGCTTCCATCCGGCTCTCCAATTTGAAAGCGACAGAGGTCGGGCCCAGAGGGGCAGGGGTCTCTTGAGGAGTTTGCGGGAGGAGAAGGGGCGGGGCGTGGAATTACCTTTAGGCAGCTCGTGGGAGACCCAGCCCGGGGGAACCCAGGAGTGTGTGTGTAGAAGTAGGGAGGGGGACGCCTGGGCAGGAGGAGGGTTCTAGGGCCAGTCCCTGCGCGTCTTGATCCAGGCTGCGGCTAAGGGAGAGCCGAGCACAGATGGCGCCGAGGCGTAGGTCTAGCGATTCCCGCTCCCGCCCCTGGCACACCTGGACAGGTGCGGGGCCTCGCAACCGGCCAAGAGGCAGCTCCAGGCAGACCGTCTGCCCACTCCTCTTGGCCCGGATAGCTCCTAGCCAGACTTGATTTTTTGTCTGGCTCAGCTCGTCGAGGACTGGAGGGCAGAGTAGGGGTGGGAGTGGGGGTAGGGGTAGAGGTTGGGGGTGGCAGTGAAGGTGGGGAGGAGAATGGAGGCTTTGGCTGAGAAGTCTCCGCGGCATGTTCTTACTTATTTACATTCTCCAAACTTTATTTCTTCATCCTAACGCCCTGGGCATCCTGTCTTAAGGCCTATGTGCGCCCACCTCCCACTGGCCAGTCTAGTCTGGGCCTAGACCTTACCATGGTCCTGTCGCCCTGCTCGGCTGGGAAGGGACGCTAAGAGAGGCATTTGTTCTGGTTTCCCTGTTGCCGTCGGCCATCTCCAGTGACCTAGTTTCTTGGTAAGCCCCTAGCTTCTCTCCAGGACCTGGCCCAGCTTCCAGTCTCAGATGTCCTCAGGTCTCCCAGACTCTGCCGTCCGCCTTGGCGTGTGGGCTGCGGATAGGCCTCGGACCTGGGTAGGCCTTCCTAGCTGGCCAGTTTCTGTCCGGGGCTCGCTCCCCACACTGTTCCAACCCGAGGCCGCCGAGAGTGCTGCTCGGGGCTTGTTTGGAGTCCAGGCCATTAAGTGTGCGCAGATCCCTGCAACCCAGCAGGGTGCTCGAGAGCGACTCTGGAAACCCCACGGCCCCCGCCTGCTTATCTGCCTGTCAATAAAGGGCGCGTTCGGGCTGCGCGGGAGCGCCGGTGGTGCAGGCGAGGCCCGAACTAGGCCCTTCCGAGCTCCGGGCCAACGCACGAGCCGCTCTCCATTTGCCCCGGGCACGGAGGCTGGGAGGGAAGGTGCCGGCGCTGGGGTCGCCGCGGGAGAAGGTGCACGTTTAGCCGCTGCCTCAGCTGGATTCTCGGAGGAGCTCTCGATCTCGGAGCACCTTGCAGACCAGTGCTGGGGGCTCCTGTCCACGCCTGCCACCAGCCTTGGGGGAGGCCGGGCAGGGCCCCGCGTAGTGCCCAGCCTACGAGGTCCCGCCTCGCCTCGCCCAGGCAGAGGCATCCTCTATAGGCCACACTGGCTTGCATTGCGGGCAGAAGGGCACCACGGGCGGCCCGGGGGCATCATCGACGACTCAAAGAGCCCCAAATGCCGAGTGCTACCTGAGGCAGGCCGTAGGTGGGGTGCAAAGGACCGGAAGCGGGAAAGAAACCTCTTTTTCAGGCCTCCCCTCAGCACTGAAATTTTCCGACATCTAGGGCAGCTCCAGGCTCTGATTCTCC